TAATGACCAAATTTTAATCAACTTATTAGGTGGAATTTGAACTCTCTAACACAAGTTGATTCGGAATCCGCAAAAATTCGATTTCGACGTACAACATACATATAATTATTATTTATACAGTACGAATATAAAATAAAAATTTGTAAAAGCATAAGGGATTATGAGCGGGTGGGTATTTTGAATCTGACGCACTTTTGTTTTTGAGATAAACTGATCAGAATCGAAAAATTTTTAGTACCATTCGATTCGACTTTCTGAGACGAATAAAATAATATAAAAATTTTTTGGATTCTAATTTGCTAAACTACAAGATATAAGTAAAAGCCGATATTACTTATGCAGTACGTATCAAATTTCTTTTAATTTTTATTATATATTTCTTCATGTGGGTAATGTTCGAAGGAAGGATGCAGTTAATACGTACAATAAGAAACACAGTGATACATACATAATGCATCATAATACCCCTAAAAGCAAAAAATACAGCATTTTTTGCTTAGATTTTGAATGTTCATATGATATTTCAAACTTTTTTCGTAAGTTCTTAGTTAATTCGATAAGTACTGTAAATAATTTATAATTTTTCTGGAAATTTTTATATAAGCAACTCTTAAACTAATAAATAATAACTATATATATATATATATATATTGCTAGAATTCTACGAGTCTGGAATTCAAATAAAAAAAAATTAATCAGGTGGTCGCCGAGATACCTTCATCAAAGTTAGATAAAATTTTGCCGTGACTATTATTTTGATAGACGTTTAAATTTTTTTAAAAACTTTGACCGAAGGTATCTCGACGACCAGCTGACCAAATTCGATGAATTTTCTTGATTAGAATTCTACATTCTATAGAATTCAAATAAAAAAAATTCATCGAATTTGGGCAGCTGATCGTCGAGATACCTTCGATCAAAATTTTTAAAAAAATCTAAACGTCTATCAAAATAATAGCCGCGGCAAAATTTTCTCTTCATTTTGATTGAAGGTATCTCGATAACAACCTAATTAATTTTTTTTATTTGAATTCTGCATACTTGTAGAATTCCAATAAAAAATTCATCGAATTTGATCAGGTGGTCGTCGAGATACCTTCGATTAAAGTTTTTAAAGAAGTGATCTACATGGGTGTGTTAAAATAATATATAGTTTATACAAAAATCTTATTAAAAATACGAATACGTATAAAATTGGTATTTATACACTCGCATACAAATGTAGCTTAATGAAAATCTTATAATCGGTAGATAGGTTGTAACCAATTTCTACACGTAAATAACCATTTCATTCATAAGCTCTTACTCAACTCTTAAATTTTAAAGCACCAATAATTTAGAACAATAAATTATTGACAAACATGAAACTTAGAACAATAGTTAATGTTATGCGTTCATTTTATGTAATATTGTATTAAGGTTTATAACAATCAAGATGAAATAAAAAAACTATATGTACATATATATATATATATTGATACTTAACAGCTAATGTTAAATTATTATTATTATTTTTTTTGGTGGTTTAATTACATAATTTGTACTTAACAATTGCATATTCAAAAAGCTATGAGTTTTAAATATTGTCTAAGACAGTAAAAACGAAACCATCCAATAGCTTTCCATACACCTTGTAATACTGACTGAATACTGTCCCGATAAGTTCGGATAGAAAATTACTCATAAGTTGGTATATCCAAGTGTAAATGAATATTTGTTCTGAACTTAGTTCGTTTAGCCAGAGTTAGGTATAAAGAGAGGTTCAGTATAGAGTGTCAACTGTATGTCATCTTATAACGATATCTGTTTTTGAAAATTATAAAGCAATTTTAATTTCATTTGTTTATTATCTATACAGGATCCGAATAATATATGAGGTTATATTTGAAAAAACTGCTAATATGCCCTTTTTTTGAAAAGGTTATATTTGAAAACTAGGCGTTGGGCGAGAAGGTTATATTTAAATTTTTGCTAATGAATTAAATAATAAATCTTATATTTGAAATATGCTAAAGGAAATTTAAGATTTTTTTTTTTTTTTTTTAGAACCCATGCTATGCCACGATGAGTAAACATATTTCAAAAAGGAATAACTAAGATTGAATTATTATCTAATATTTGAGATATAGATAATATACATCAATATAAAGTGCTAACAAAAAAAGTTTACTAAGATACTCAAATATAACCTCATATATATTATTCTAGTCCTTTTATACCTCAATGTTTTGTTTGGCTAAAAAGGAAATATTATAACTTACTTAAACAGTGGCTTGAGATGAGAGATTAACTGACGGTGTTGTTGATGTTGCTGTCGTTGATGATGCACGCTTTGTCTTATAGTCCTTGATTGCGGATTTAATAGCATCCTCAGCAAGCACTAATTCATGAGAACAAAAAGTTTTTAATTTTCATATTACATTTGTCAAACAGATAAGCTAGGTTAACTAGGTTAACATACTTGAACAATGAAGTTTCACAGGGGGCAAACTTAATTCTTTCGCAATCTCAGTATTTCTAATTTGACCGGCTTCGTCCAAAGACATACCTCGCACTCGTTCAGTCATATAGCTTGATGAAGCGATGGCAGACCCGCATCCAAACGTTTTGAATTTAACATCAACGATTTTACCAGTTTTGTCGTCGACACGGATTTGAAGTTTCATAACATCACCGCAAGCTGGAGCCCCAACAAGTCCAGTTCCAACGTCTGGGTCCGTTCGTGGTAGTGACCCAACATTACGAGGACGTTCATAGTGGTCAATAACCTTTGAAAGAAATTTGTGACATTAGCATTTAAGAAAAATGAAGATAGTATATATATATTGTGTGTATTAATAGAGACTTTGCCTCTGTGCATCTGTACGACTAGCTTTTTTTAATTCAAGCTCCTGTATTTCTAGAAGCATAACTCACCTTTTCATGATAAAATCGTGTCAAACCAAGAGACGCAGGACGAAAAATTGATTGAGAGTTAGCACGATATAATGAACCAACGTTGTTTATAGCTGTGCGCAACATGTTTGAAAAGATTTTGAAAAAAGAATTTTTTGAAAGATATCAGATAAAATGATCCTATTTATATAAAAATAAACGATTATTAATTAGTAATACAACAATGCTAATGAAACACAAGTTTATCTAACGCTAGCCTTTTTTTCTCTTATCAGATTTGAGAATCTGATAATGCTGCAACGCCCTTATCAATCAGATTGTAATATAAATTATCTTTATTTGTTTGTCATATCAGGTCACGCGCGTTAATGGGTAATTATTTTTGCAATATCGATTCTTTTTATGTTAAGTGATTTTACCGGTTGATCTACATGTAACATCTAACTTTACTGATAAGAAATTATCGCAAAAATTATTTATACAGTACAACTTTACTGTAGTGAAAATTTCACTGTAGCGAATCTAGTCCCAAAAGAATTGATATTGCATATCGATTGTAATTTCTGTAACACAATGACATGTATGGTAGATAGCTGATAATATGATGTAACGTACTACAATATGATAAGAGGTAATGTATATCAAAGTGACACATGCTATCGGAACTCTAATTACATACAGTACGTATATTTGATCTGATAATTAAATGTCTAATAATATAAATAAATTAATGAAAAACCTTTATAAATATAATCGGTTTTTAAACTTCTATCAAAAAAATTATCTTAAATTTCGCAAGTATACGAATTCGAAAACTGTAATAATGCAAGCCGAAAATAGAACTTATGCGGTATGTTATCTATAGGATATCAATGGAAGTTCATAAACATTTTTTAATTGATCTTTATAATGTATATATTGATTCATGACGAATAAAAGCAAGCAATTGAATGCTTGAATTCTTTGCAAACAAATGCTTCCATCCTCAAAACAGTTAGTAAATCAAATAATTGTCATTTGACAGCTCTTCCAGAAATGAGAGAATTTTGTCAAAAGCTCGGTTATGAGGTAATAATACTTGGATGAATTAGCAAATATGCAAGGCTTTTTTTTTTTGATAATATATATATATATTTATTTATTATTTATTTATTATAAGGCTCGAGATTTTGATAGTTTGAATATTATTCACATAACTGGAACGAAAGGAAAAGGCTCTACTTGTGCTTTGGTTGAATCAATATTAAGGAATTTCTATTCATCGCGTAAAGAAAGTATGACAAATAAGATTCGAACAGGTATTTTATGCTCCGAGCATGTATATCAATTCGTTGATTACATGTATTTTTTATTAACTCAGTTTGATCGTAAGGGTTGTTCACTTCTCCACATCTTGTTGCTGTTCAAGAACGTATTCGTTTGGATGGGACTATGTTGAGTGAAGAAGAATTTACAAACTATTTTTTTGAATGCTGGGATAAACTTAAATTAAACGATATAAAGGTTTATTTGATCATTATTTTTAACAAATCAAATTTTAATCAATCTTATTAACGACATTCTTTTTTCAAGTAGCAAGGTGATGATGATAAACGAATCAAACCATATTATTTCCGATTTACTACGTTAATGGCATTTTATGTCTTCATGAAAGAAAAGGTTTGTAATTTATTACAACTAGATTTTTTTATTCATAAATTAAAGATTACTATTTAATATTCCCAGGTGGACGTTGCAATTATGGAAGTTGGAATTGGTGGTGAATATGATTCAACAAACATTATAGAGAAACCTACGGTCTGTGGTGTATCATCTTTGGGAATTGATCACCAAAGATATTTAGGTGAAACTGTTGATTTAATCGCGTGGCATAAAGGAGGCATATTCAAGGTATTTTAAATTTGTCGTTAATTTTAAATTATTAAATAAATTCTTTTTCTAAATTATAACTATAACTGATAAGGCAAATGCTCCGGCTGTGACTGTAGACCAGCCTCCCATAGCTTTGGATGTCTTGAAGAAGCGAGCAGAATACGTTAATGTATGTAAAATAATATACACAATCCATGCCTTTTTAACTTATTACAACTTGTCCAACAGGCACCATTCATACAAGTAGAAACACATACTGAAGAATCTTTGGGCAACATTAATATCGGTATTAGTGTATTATAATAATGATTAGTGGTTATTTATCGATTATTTTTTATTAAATAATTAATTAATTGTAAATTTCAGGACTTGCTGGTCGGCATCAACTTATAAATGTATCCCTCGCAATTGAGTTATGTCGCATATGGCTTGAAAAAAACAGAAATATTAAATTTTCTAATGAAAGAGTTCCTCAAGAGTTTGTTCCTGGGCTTGCTAAAGTGCGATGGCCTGGTCGCTCACAACAACTTGTCCTCGAAAAATATCCAAAAATTACTTGGTTTCTTGATGGTGCTCATACATTAGAGAGCATTCAAGTGAGTTTAATATGATCAAAATTACGGTATTGTTTATAATTACATGATTCTTCAATTTATTTATTTTAAATATTATGTTTCTAGGTGTGTGCTGACTGGTTTAATGAAACTGCGATTGCTAAAAAAAGGTAATCAATTACTTGGTAATGTTGTGTCAAATTATACTTTTCTTAAAATTGTTTATAACTTACAGTCAAAAAAAAACTACTTAGTGTTGAACGAATTTTGATATTTAATTGTTCCGCTGACCGTAGTGGATCTGAAATGTTAAAACAATTAATTTCTAAAAATTCATATATCCATTTTGATCACGCTAATTTTTGTACAAATGTCACGTTTACTACGAATCAATTTAAACCCGGTAAATTTGAAATTTATATTATTAAATTTATTAACTTATTAATTGAATAAATGTATATACATCTTTTTTTCGTTTAGATTTGCAAAACAACACGATTAGGATTGATAAAAATCTTACCTTGCAAAAAACGCTTGCAGAAATTTGGCCAACCTTAATATCAAAATCACAAACAAGTGATGCACATGTTTTTCCAACGATACAAAATGCTATTAATTGGATACTTGAACATTGCAAGGAAAGTGAACGTGAAGTTCAAGTGTTAGTTACTGGGAGCTTACACTTAGTAGGTGGAGTAATGGCTGTGTTAGAAGTCGATGTTTAATTTTTAAGAAAATAAATTCAAGTTAATTCATTGCCACTGTTTTATATTATTGATTAATTATTAATCTGCATTAATTTAACAATTTGGCTACTGTTTTGACATTTTCTTAGAGTGAACTGAGACAATTGCAGTTTGCAAAGTTTCAAAATTTGGAGGTATCAGTAGAAAGCAGGAGAATTATTTCTAAGTAAATTATTTTTAGACTTTAAATTAAAATATTTCAGCGACTATTAAACCAAACTTGATAAAAAATTTTTTATTTTAATTCTATTTAGTTATAGAATTAAAATAAATAAAAAGTTTATCAAGTTTGGTTTAATAGTTGTTGAGATACTTTAATTTAAAGTTTTAAAAAAACTTACTAAAAACAATTTGCCTGGTTTCTACTGACCCCCCATTTGTGAAATTTTGTAGGTCATCAAAAAAAAAACAGAATTGCTCGATATTTAGTGATTCCTGATTTCTTAAAATTACTCTGATATAAAATTATTACTAGAGTAATTTTAAATCAATTTTTTTCCGCATTTACTAATTTCCCCCCAGGTTTTCTATTGGTCGTCAGTATATCTCATCTCTGATTGGCTGCTAGCCTATCACA